CTGCATACATACAGTCTCAATTCCTTGCTAGCCTGTCACAGGAGAAATAAAACAGAACACGAGGACGACATCCTCATTAGGGAAAATTGAGAAGATCTTCTGCTAACATAAGAGGTTATAGATGCCTTCTTTCAAAAGAGGAACAGAAGACAATTTTCCATTCCAGGAAATGTCTGCAGAAATATAGCTTTCCTCGAACTCTCTTCCCCTATTGATACGTCAACAGCTTCTAATAAATGTTTTATTGCCAGTGAAGACTAGAACCCCACAAAAATTAATGCCAGCCTCACTGAGGGCCTTCTCTAGGATAGGTCCCCATATTGGAACATTCTTTTGAATCATATTAGCTTAGTGCTCTCATAATCAAAGAGCAAGCCTAGGTTAAAAGTCTACCCAGTTTGTTTGAGTTTTTAATGACAATTGCTCTTCTTATTTGTTATCTTATTAGGCAGCTGCTATTTTTAGTCATTTTTACTAGAAGGCTCGCTTAAGTGGTTTAATTGTTCTTTTAGACCAGTGTTTCTCAACCTTGGTAACCAGTGGGGTTCTAGTCTTCACTGGCAATAAAACATTTATTAGAAGCTGTTGACGTATCAATAGGGGAAGAGAGTTCGAGGAAAGCTATATTTCTGCAGACATTTCCTGGAATGGAAAATTGTCTTCTGTTCCTCTTTTGAAAGAAGGCATCTATAACCTCTTATGTTAGCAGAAGATCTTCTCAATTTTCCCTAATGAGGATGTCGTCCTCGTGTTCTGTTTTATTTCTCCTGTGACAGGCTAGCAAGGAATTGAGACTGTATGTATGCAGTACTCTACCTTCCTTGGTAATAATAACTGGTCCAATACACTCCAAGTTCCATATTTAAGAAAAACACACTAACTGTGCAATTAATTACTTCCTTTGGCATAAGTCTAGTGAGTGCCCTTCATTTTGCATTCGTTTTGATTCCTTTTATTTCTAGGAGGTTTTACTTGCTCTAGAACTAATAGCTCTCAGGGTAACCAGGTAAAAAGACAACAACTAGTGCCTCAAAAAGTGTAATAAAACAAAGCAAGAATTATTAACAGTAGAAAGACTAAAACAGGCTTCCCAAGAAGATATCACAAAGAAAAAAAAATCTTTCTTAAGGGCAACATGGTCTAAATATACAGAGGTTTAAAAGCCTTTAGGGAATGTTACCTGGCATCAAAAGATAACCAAGTTGGTCTTCTATGGATTGTTCAGTAATTGGAGATGCTATTGAAAGTGCCAACTCAACTTGCTATCTTCTTTGATCTAGGATGGTATTTGGAAAGGCATCCAAAGCAGATTTTGCTTCTTGCTGCAGAAACGCTGTCTTTCTGCAGCTCCCTTAAACTCCAAATTGCTTAAGGAGCATTGAGAAGGTCACAATTCTCATCACTGTAGGAGGAATTCCACTTCATTTCTGAGAGCCACATCATTTCTCCCATTTGAATAAAGCTCCAGAAAAGTGATGTACATCCTGATTATTAATCCATTTTTAAATACCAACAGAGGTTGTCAAAACTGGGCCATGTAATGCTTGGGACAAGGAATGTATATCCTTTAAAGAAAAAGAAAATTCAGCTTTGCTCTGTCAAGTTTTAAAAGATACAAGCGCTCCTGTAGATTAGAGCAGAAGCAATCCCATGGAAAATGAATCAAACAGGTTGGCAAGGATAAAAACATTTGATATACAAAAAATGATACCAAAATTGTATTGGTATTGTAACGGGTCACAAAAGCAGTCCAGTGATTACCTACGATTCTCTTGCAGCTGTCTAACTATTCAACCAAAGCAAGAAGGATAAAGAGATCCTCTATGGCAGGGTTCCTCAACCTTGGCAACTTTAAGATGGGTGGACTTAAGGTTGGCTGGGGAATTCTGGGAGTTGAAGTCCACCCGTCTTAAAGTTGCCAAGGTTGAGGAACCCTGCTATAATTCTGGGAGTTGAAGTCCACCCGTCTTAAAGTTGCCAAGGTTGAGGAACCCTGCTATAATTCTGGGAGTTGAAGTCCACCCGTCTTAAAGTTGCCAAGGTTGAGGAACCCTGCTCTGTGGGGCAGAATTGCATATAATCAGAAATACTAAACAGTGGCCTGAAATATTGTGAATGAAATTGTCCTGCAACAGAAGTGCAATCCAGAGTGCAAAAAAATGTCCCTCTCCAAAAGCACTTTTGTTTGGTAACTCAGAGCATAAACCAAGCCAGGTAAAGCCTTAAAGAAGCCTGTGACTGCCCCTGATTTGTAATGGCAGTGTTGCTTGTATCTTTTGAGTTCAGCTTCATCAGCTCCTCCTCCCAAGCAACCGGGCTAAAACCTACATTTTCTAAATCAAGAATGAGCAATGTTTAGACGTCAGCCATAATCCCACTTGGGAAAGTCAGTTTGTCAAAGGATATATGCTTTTTACAGTAGATAAAGCCAAAGTCAAGAGGGGATGGGAATGTCCTTTGTCCTTTATTCCTGATTTTTCCCCTCTCTCCCTGTCTCTTTTCCCCCCTCCCTCATGTATTTATTCATTCTCTCTCTTGCACACCCACATACCCACCCATTCATTTTCTTCCATTCAGTTCCACTCCCCATCAACCCATTGATTTCAGCCCCACTAAGAAGTAATGAGGAAATAGTAATTTGGGCTACATGAAGATTCCTGGGGCTGGGCAAGTAAACATCCTACCTGTACACTGCTAACAACATCCTGTTAGTATTTTTTCCATGCCTAGTTGAATGTTGAGCAAGGGAAAAATGTCTGGGGTGCCCCAGACCCTTCAGTGTAAAAAGTTGCTCTTCCAAGCTCTAAATGAAAGTTGACATGTTGGGTCAGATCCTACATGTGGGTTGTCTATGACTCTTCCTAGCAGTCACACAACATACATGCCCTTACAGAGTTCTCCACTGCATATCTGACTGATACTAGACAATGCATGTCATTTTCTTCATCTTTATTTATTTATCCAATTTATATAGCCACCCACCTCACAAGTGACTCTGATTTACCCATGTATTGCTTCTCTTAGTCTCTTCAAAGCCTTCAAAGACTGTTCATGAAGATAGACAGTGAGTTAGAAGAGGCCAAGAAGAATGTCCTGGTGAGACTTCTGATTTGGAAGAGACAGCAGCAATGGGCTGGGAATGGAAGTCCATTTGACGAGGACTTGTCCCCACTGCAGATGAGGTGAGTTTTGCAGAAAGAATACATTGCATTTTCTCAGATATGATACTGTATGTGATCATTCTGAGGTTTAGCAGCCCAACTTTTTGAAACTGCTTAAAAAAGTAGCTGAATGCAAAATTGGCATGACACTGTCTCTCATGGGTCCACTTTGTCTGATAGATGTCTGTGGTTAATACAGGTAGTCCTCGCCTAACGACCACAATTGGGACCAACATCTCAATTGTTGAGTGAAGCAGTCGTTAAGTGAGATGCCCATGTGACTGCTTCACTCAACAACCAAAATCCAGGCACTCCTGGTTGTGATCGTTAAGCGATCTCCTGGGTCATTAAGTGGATGGAGCGAAAGAGCTGCCTGCCGTGCAGAGCTGAAATCCTCCCGGCAGGCAGCCCTTTCTCTCTCAAAGTTCCTAAAGCCTGCCAAAGAGTTTGCCCTCTCCTCCATGGATGGAGGGGAAATCCTTTGTGGTACTGGAGGAACGGAACTCAAATCTTCAGGATCCGATTTCCGTTCCTGCACGCCGCCAAGAGATTTCCCTCCATCCCCTCTGCTTTCAAACTTCCCTGCACTGACTTTCTGGGGAAGCTGGTAGAGAAGATTGCAAATGGGGTTCACATGATCACAAGGAGCTTGGCAACCAATTGTGAATGCGAGCTGGTTGCCAAGCAGCCAAAATGTGGCCATGTGACTGTGGGGGGTGTGTGGCGCAACGTTTTACGACAGCCGGAAGTGCTTTACAGGCCATAAAGCACCTTTCTGAGGCCCTCGTAACTTCAAACCATCGTTAAACAAACAGTCATTAAGCAAGGACTATCTGTATTACTGTATCTAGAGGAGCCTAGTGGTGTTGGTAGAAGTGTAAATCTCTACGTTTGCTTGTCAGATCTTACATATATGATGGTGTATGAGTCCTATGTATCAAGCAAAAGAAAATTTCTAATCTCTGTACTCAGCTAATCCAATTTCTCTGATAAAAAAAGCTAACCTCTGCAGCTTATGCTGATAATGCAAACTGAATAGATTTGCATGTGTCCTCTCATAGTGACTGTCTGGACTAGACCCTGCAGTTTTCTTGGCAAGGTTTTTCGGAAGTGGTTTGCCCTTGCCTCTTTCCTAGGGCTGAGAGAGAGGGACTGGCCCAAGGTCACCCAGCTGACTTTGTGCCTAAGGAGGGACTCGAACTCCTGGTCTCCTGGTTTCTAGCCTGGTGCCTTCACCACGACACCAAACTGGCTCCTTATACAGTGGGGCAAAAAAGTATTTAGTCAGCCACCAATTGTGCAAGTTCTCCCACTTAAAAAGATGAGAGATTCATCTCAATACTTTGTTATATATCTTCATCTCAATACTTTGTTATATATCTTCATCTCAATACTTTGTTATATATCTTCATCTCAATACTTTGTTATATATCTTCATCTCAATACTTTGTTATATATCTTCATCTCAATACTTTGTTATATATCTTCATCTCAATACTTTGTTATATATCTTCATCTCAATACTTTGTTATATATCTTCATCTCAATACTTTGTTATATATCTTCATCTCAATACTTTGTTATATATCTTCATCTCAATACTTTGTTATATATCTTCATCTCAATACTTTGTTATATATCTTCATCTCAATACTTTGTTATATATCTTCATCTCAATACTTTGTTATATATCAATAAATTCTTTAAAAATCAGACAATGTGATTTTCTGGATTTTTTCCCCCATTTTGTCTCTCATAGTTGAGGTATACCTATGATGAAAATTACAGGCCTCTCTCATCTTTTTAAGTGGGAGAACTTGCACAATTGGTGGCTGACTAAATACTTTTTTGCCCCACTGTAGCTATATTCTGCATGTTTTCTATTTGTCATAATTGCGCTTGATTTACTAGACGTGTGGAGCTATCAAGAGCTATTCAAATACTGAAACCAGTCCCAACCACTGGTATTTTTATTCAGGACCCCATCTGGTTTCCAATATTTTAATAGGTATTATCCCTTGTATCCTTTGTATCTCTTTCATCACAAAAGCAAGATATATACTCTACAAAATTGCACATGACATACAATCTCTTCTAGATGGGGCAGCCATATAGATTGTCTGGAGAGCTCTCTTTTGAGCCCAGCGCCTGTGCCTGGCTGTTGCTGATCATGAGGGATCTAGTGCAGCCAAAGGCCATATAAAAACAGGGCACATCCTTAATACTTGGGGGGAAAAGTGGCTGCTGTACCCCTTGACCAGTTTTCTTTACTTTTAGAACTTGGGTAAATGTGGTTTGGATGGATGTGGAATTTCAGTTCTGGGAGATAAAACAAATCTGTCATGTTTCTAACAGGTTGGAATGTCTAGTAGATATTTGCTTCCAGTTCCGCCAGCAGTTGGTTGCCTCTGGAATTGAGCTTCAACCTCATATTCGAGAACATCTTGATGATACATTCAACAGTCTTATCCAAAAGTAAGGAGAGTCCCTATTTAGAAGTATTTTCCTTCCTTCCCATTAATATCTACTTTCATACTATGTGTGGTATGTGAATTATTGTGCTGTGTTGCTTGGTTACTCTGGATCATGAATTGTCAGCAAGAGAGGGTGGGGATATCCAAAGGAGATCACAAGGACATTCTACAACTGCTTTGGTGTGTTTTTTGGGGAGCTTTAATAGTTGAAATTGAGACTTCAGCCTAGCATTAGACCCTTGGTTCTATCAGCTTTCTGTTTCCTAGGTGTGAAATGTTACCAGAAGAGAAACGTTAAAGAATATTTTGTGTACAAATGATGCAGAGCTGTACTCTTGACTCATTTCCCTAATTTGTTGCACATCAAAATCTTCCCAATGGTTGAGTATAATTGTCAAGATCTAGACAAGTGTTTCTCATCTCAGCAACTTTAAGATGTGTAGACAACATGCTGGCTGGGGAATTCTGGGAGTTGAAGTCCACACATTGTGAAGTTTCTGAGGCTGAGAAACACTGATCTAGACACTTCGTTTTGCATATCCCCAACCTGATCCTTGCTTTCCCATTTTCTCCCCATTCTTCATCTTCCCAGTCACCTGTATTTTTATTTGTTTTCAGTTGTTCATCCATTATAGTTTAGTTTTAGAAAAAGCTAAAGAGGACGTGGAGCTACGGTCTAAGGTTCAGCCATCCATCTCATGGGAAGCTTAATTCCCTGCTACTCCCACAACTTTTCCCCAACTTTCTTTTGCCTCTGTGCTGCAAACTGGAGCAGATATTCCTACACTGGAGTCATATTTGGCCCTGGAGCTATGAGTTGTGTGTGTGTGTGTATGTACGTGTGTGTGTATACACACACACACATCTACACACATATGTATATATAGCTCTTTTATATATACACACACACACATACACACTTGTATGTCTCTGTATAAGATAAGCTGTTAGCCTAATATTGTATTGGACACACTTAAATATTTTGAAGCGCACACCAAATTTCCTTGAGGAAATAATTTACTTACCTTAGTTCTCAAATGCACTGTATTTACCTTTGCGTTATTCTCTGAAATAAAAAACCATTCTTTTGATTCAGCTACAATTCTCATATAGGTTAAAACAGGCAAAAATAATATAAACATCCAAAATAAAGTTACTAACCCATTTCTTGACCAAGGTTTGTAAAGTACCAGGAAATCTCATTTTTCCAGAGCTGGATAAAATAGACTTCATATACAACAGCCCAAATTCACCTGCAATTTATCATTTGTGTCATGATTTGGTTTTGTTTTATGATCCCAGCACCCTTTGGAATGCTCATATCAATGATTTGGTTCTTTTCTTGCAAACGTTTCATTACCCAGCCAGGTAATGAAAGGTTTGCAAGAAAAGAAACAAGCTCAGAGAACCCCAAGGACTCCACAGTTCAACCCTGAGCTACACATATTCGCCTCTATTTGCCCTTTGACCTGGCTTCCTGTTAAGTTCTGGAATCCTTCCCTGCCGTTTGCACTCACCTGACTGTTTGGGATCATATCCTTCTGACATTGTAAAGCAAAGGAAAGCTGAAGTAAAATTGTAAGCCCAGTCGTGGTCATATGATTTTTCACTTAGTGACCGCTTTGCTTAAAGACTGAGTTGCTGGTCCCAATTGCGGTTGCTAAACAAGGGCTACTTGTAAAGCACAGTCAGACTTGCCAAGACTGCCGTCAGCCCCACTGTGTAGACCATACCAAGAGATCAACTCCACACAAAGGCTAAAGCTACATTGATTAATATTGGGCATGTTGTTGTTGCTGCTGCTGCTGTTGTTGTTGTTGTTGTTGTTGTTGTTGTTGTTATTATTATTATTATCCCACCTTTACATTTGGTCAACTCCTACCTCCTATTTTTCCCACAACAACAACACTGTGAGGTGGCCTGGGCTAGGAGAGAGCGACTAGCCCAAAGTCACCCAGCCGGTTTTCATGCCAAAGGGAGGCCTAGAATTCCGAGTCTCCTGGTTTCTAGGCCAGCACCTTCATCACTACACCAAATTAGCTGTAGTAATAGAATCTTGCAAGTCTGACTGTGCTTTATTTAGAGGCGAATATGTGTAGCTCAGGGTTGAACTGTGGAGTCCTTGGGGTTCTCTGAGCTTGG